AACTAGAACAGTCTACCCCAGTGAACAAAATAAAGGGTTCAGTTCAACATTCTAACCACCTGAAGAAGGCCAGAGTGTAGAATGCCCGAAACGCTGTAATAAATATGGCAACAAAGATGAGGACAATAGTCTGAATAATGTAAATAGGGAGCATTCTAGAATGAAATCTAGAAAATTATAAATGGCTTCTTTGTGTTTATGTTTTTATACACCATATATTTTATACATTTATAATGTTCCAGAGTCAATAAGGGGTTGTTTCTACAGTACAACCTGTAGAAGATTTTACTTTTATTCTAGGGGTTCAGAGACTAATATACACAATAAAGTATGAAAGGGAAAACCATGTTTATAAATTTATTTCAGGGGAATCTTTCCTAATATTAAATGAGAACCAGAAGGTTTTACAAGTAAAACATAGCAATACACTTTAAAAGAGGGAATAGACACAAAAATACTATGATGAGTAGGGAGTCAACACACATTGCAAAGAAGAAATGAGATAAATGCTATGCTGAGTTGGGGGTCAACACACAATGCAAAGAAGAAATAAAATAAATAAAAATACTGATAAAAGAAAAAATTGGTCTAAATAATAAAATTAGATATTTATGTTAGTTGAAGTGTTTCTTTAAAAAGAAATAGCTAGATGGTTTGGTTTGAGTAGATAGGAAACTAGTTGATTGCAGCAGTGTTTGAAAATACAGGTGGAGGAATAATAACAATAATAATAATAACGAGAAGAAGAAAGAGAAAAAGTCAAAGAAGAAAAAAGGAAAAAAAAGAAGCAGTTTACAAAAAACAGATTTTTCTGATTCTTACATTACTCTTAATTTACAAAAAAACATATCTCCATAAAAAAATATCTTCAAAAAAGAGAAGAAATGATCTGGCGAAGAATTAAGAAAAAAACAGAAAAACAATGCTTAAAAATAAAATTCTTTAAATGTTTATATTTCTTCCTTAAATCTTTTTAACTTAAATTTATTAATGCCTGTATCCTATCATGCAGTTAAATAGATATACTGAATTACTTTATGACATTTGATTTATTTCAGCAATAAAACCTAGTGTTAAATCTTGAAAACAGTAAAAGAATTCTCGTTTTAAACATGGGCAAAAAAAATAACATTTTCAAGAATCTGATAATTTTCTAGTTTAATAATTTTACTACAATTTTGGAAGAATTAAGCATATTTATTCACTTGCTTATTATTTTAAATTTCTGTTCGAATTTATTATGTTTCAATTTTCTTTCTTTTAAGGATTTCTTTCTTACCTTAGTAAATTTTCTTTCGTTTTACTATAAATGACGCTCGCCATATCCTTTATATGATCACATCGAGTTACCTCCCTTGACTAACTTAGCTGAATGCAACGCGCACAGTAAAGGGGAAATAACTCTCAGCGTTTTAATTAAACTTGTTAGTCTAAATAATTTGTTATATTGTTTTTATAATTACCATTTTTATTTTTTTATTTATTTTTTTGATATTTTTTGCTTTTATTTAATTTCAGAATTTTCTGTCGAATATTGATGGTGTTTTCTCAATGTAAAATTAATTTTTTGGTCTGGGGAAAGCTAAAAATATTTCCCATATAAATTAATAGTCAAAATGTTTTTGCTTTATGACATTTTGGTTAATGAGAGATTTTATAAGAACACTGTACTTCTGGATTTAAGGGTAAATCTATACGAGAGCATCTTCAGCAAGAATATGAGAATTCATGTTTTTGCTTTTTACTATTAGATTCTTAACTTTTATGTGACTTTTAACTTTTAGATAAAAATGAAAAACATTCACACCATAAAATGGAGTTCATTGTCTTTGAGAAGAGTCATTAACATAGACCAGTCTATCAGGTACATCAAAGGTTTCTTTTTATTATTCACAAATTAAGCCTGATGAAATCTATAGAATGGAATCACTGAAAGGTTGTGTTAACAACAAATGTACAAAGAAGTGTTTTGATCATCTGAACAATATTAGAAATATATTTTTGTTTTTCTATAAAGGGAATGTTTTAAATTTAAATTGTTTCCAGCTTTTGAAAGGATTTTTTCTAGAAAATAAAAGAAAGATTTATAAGAATCTATAAATATAAAAGTAGGGCAGATTCGGCTCTTCAGCCTTGGTTAACAACCAGTCTAGGAGAATGATAGCACTCAATGTAAAACCAGTTGAACATGGGGCTGACAGCTCACCCATAAAAACCTGCTTTCTGTGGAAACCATAACAGTATTACCTAGCATGTTGAGAATTGTGCCCCTATGCACTTCCACTGGAGTTTTAGGTGAGGGAGTGATATAATATTAAAAGTTTATCTATATGTAACATTGAAACAGTCAAAATTGTGCTTTGTAGACAGAGGTATTAAAGTCCCTCAAAAATGCCATATCATGTTGAAACACCAGTTCTTGTCCAATCACTGAAGTTAAGCAACATCAAGCCTGGTCAGTACCTAGATGGGTGACCACTTGAGAATAACAGGTGCTATAAGCTTGGATGTGCAGGTAGTGTAATGGATAATGGCTTGGAATTGGAAATCAAAGAGCCAAGTACAAATTCCAATTAGGCTTGTGACATTCACTTATATGCATATACCCTGGGGCAATCATAAATTGAAAAGAGACATGATCATGCAAGTGTGCTACATCTGCCACTACCAACATGCATTGCATTCAGGAGGGGTAATCACCCATTCTTCCTCATTAATCTGAGGAAGGCTATGAAGAAGAAGAATGCACTAGCTTAAAGAATAAATTGAAAAAAATCATGTGCTTTACAGCCAAATGATAATATTGGAGGATCTGCAGTTGAACTTGATGAAAAAAAATGTTTTTTCAATTAAATGTTAATTTTTCAGTTTTTTATCCCTTATTTATTTGCAAGATGAAAAAAAATGTTTTTTTCAATTAAATGTTAATTTTTCAGTTTTTATCCCTTATTTATTTGCAAGATGAAAAAAAATGTTTTTTTCAATTAAATGTTAATTTTTCAGTTTTTATCCCTTATTTATTTGCAAGATGAAAAAAAATGTTTTTTTCAATTAAATGTTAATTTTTCAGTTTTTATCCCTTATTTATTTGCAAGATGAAAAAATGTTTTTTCCAGTTTTTATCCCTTATTTATTTGCAAGATGAAAAAAAATGTTTTTTTCAATTAAATGTTAATTTTTCAGTTTTTATCCCTTATTTATTTGCAAATGTGTAAAAATTGTGGCTTATTCTGGTTACATCAGATTGCAATGATTTTCAATTTAAAGAGAACATTGAAGGATTGTCTAACATTAAATAAAATCATGTATAAAAACTAAACTAGCCATTTCATTATACATTAGAATTGACAAAGGATCCAAATAATTTAAATGAAAAGATCAAAATTCTCAAGTTAATAAGACAAGAAAAATGATATATGGAGTTTGTGAAAATCTAAAGTAAGAATTAATCTATACCCTGTAGAATATTGTTATAATTGTTAGATTTTAGTATCAGTTGTTAATTTGATAGGTAGAATGAGTAAGAAAAAGAGTATATATTTGTGCAGTAATATTTGAAGTTTCAAGTATCCATAAAAAGAGTTTAGAATCCCTTCCCTGCAAAAAAAAAACAAACAAAACAAAAACCAAATAGTTTTTACCTAATCTTTAGAAGATCCAAAAGTACACTTGGAAGTGCTTCATCTCAAATGTTTAGGCAATACTTAGTGTCTTTGAATCCAAATATATCTACTTGTGTATGTAAAAAAAAAAGGTAAAAAATCATTGTCTTTAATCATACTTGTATTATTGAAAGATGGTGTTTCATTCATATATATATATATATATATATATATATATATATATACACATTATTTAGACAAATACTTACTTGATTGCTGATTTACTTATTTCTCATTTCATTTCTTCCTCAATGGTTCAAGTGAAAAATAAAAAGGATGAACTTACCTGAAAATAAAAAGAAAGAATTTTAGAAAGAATAATCATAAAAATTCATGTAAACATTTACAATGAATAACATGCAATACAATAAAGTTTTCATAAAATTATATATATTTAAAAGAGTTTTTTTCCATAAATCTCAAAGCAACAAATGCTTATAAAACTGACAGTCTTGTCTTCACAACTTTACTGTTTCAGCCCTTGACTGTTTTGTGGCATAAAACTATATTCATTAAAGTTATTTGTACATTCCCAAAAGATACTTCTTGTCCACACAACTTTGTCATTCCTTCTTTGAATTTTCTGTATTTTAGGTAAAAAAAGTGAATGTTTTAAAAACAACAGTTATTTCATCAGTTTCTAAAGAACTTACAAATTATAAATAAATAGTTATTTCTTGTCTGATAGAAATCAATGTTTCCACATTAAAACTTAAGTTAAAATAAATAAAATTACACCTAAATTAGAGTTTGCTTAGAGTAAAATCTGGGTTTGACTATTTGTAAGGCTATGTCAGACTTTTACTATTTGTAAATCTTTGTACGTTCATGTCTGAGTTTGACTATTTGTAAGTCTATGTCAGAGTGTGAATATTTGTAAACCTATGTTTGAGTTTGACTATTTATAAGTCCATGTCTGTGCTTTTGTTGAGATTTTTTTTTACAGAATTGGTCAATTTTGTTATGTTTGTCAGAATTTAATCAGGGAGCTTTTGAGTAAAAAATAAAGAACACTAAAAAAATCAGTCCTGCCATTTGTACAATGTTTAAACCTACAAAATTTCAACATTAGCTTGTTCAAGAGACACATGTGGCAGTTGTAAGTTCAAGGATGCTTTAATGATGCAGTAGAAGAAATGGACAAAGGACACAAAAGCAAATAAAACTGGGGAATAAGCATAGAATGAGAACAACTGTGGAATGAATTCTAAAAAGTTACCCAATATGAAGACAGACATCTAAAAAAAAAAGCCGGGGAGTACAATAGCAGAAATGTTGTGAGAAAATGAATGAAGAGATGCATTCTGGTTTGAAAAGCAAAGTATATTATATTATTTTATTTACCCTTTCTACATTGTTCAAACTGTTGTCCTCATCTTTATTGTCATATTCATCAGGTTTCAGACATTGTATGCTGTGGCCTTTTTCAAGTGATTTATGTTGGAATTTCAAAACAAACTCTTTATTTCGTCCACTGGGATAAATTGTTCTAGTTCCATCTACCATAACTTCTCTGGATATCTCAGTTTAACTTACTCAACTATCCAAGTTTTTGTTTACTGCTGCTGTGGCCAGGTATTGAACTCACATTTCTTTGGGTCAAGTCTCTGGATTACTTCAACCAACACTTTTATTCACTGAGGATATTCCAATGAATATTGCCTGAAAAAGGCTGGAATGTACATCATGAATATAACAATAAAGATGTGGACAACAGTCTGAACAATGTCAATAGTGTAAATGATTACAATACCTCATCTCAGAAATATAGACAGATGTTGAATTTGTTGATATATTTCTTGATATTTTCAAAAGCTGGAACAAGTTTTCAATATTATCATATAAAAATTCAAGTAATAATAGTTCATACTGGTTCATACTTCTTTCCCCGTCTTCTAAACAGATTTACAGTTTATTTTTTGTTTCCTATTCTGTCTCCTAAAGTCTTCTCATTTTCTTTTATCCCCAGTAAACCTTTGTGTCTTAGTGGCCTTATAGCCCTGCTTGGGATAAAATGATTAAAAAAAAAGAAGTTATATACATATATACATATATATATATTTATTTAGACTGCTGTCCTCATTATGTTATAGTCATAATGACCACACAGTAAATTGCATTTACTTAGCCAATGCTTACATCCTGTACACAATTTACAAAGTGGACGTAAAATGAATCAGTGAGCCATGCAATCAAATTCACAAATCCGGTTCAGTAGAATGAGCCAATAAACCGCCCTAAATTAACTAATTATTAACTGACACGTGTTATCTCCCCTAGCACTGACAGTTTTTACAGTCAGGTCTGTAAACTTATTCATTTTTGGAAAAAAATATTCAGCCCTTATTCTTATTCCAACCCCTTGTTGATTTATGTTTGTGGAAGCTTCCTAGAAAAAATTTCAATTATAAGTTAAGAATTGTGAAATATTATTTTGAGTTTTACGATTTTTGGATGACTGTTTGAAACTGAATGAAATTTTAGAATCTGTATCAAATCAGTTAAGAATTGTGATTCTCAACTTAGAATTTAAATTTTTTCTAGGAAGTTTCCACGAAAATAAATAAACAAGAGATTGGAATAAGAACAAGGCTTGGAATTCTAATTTTAGTCATGTAACATGCTGTCTTTACTTGTTATTTTAAAAATAATTTAATAGCTGAGAAAAGAACATTTGACATGTATAGTAAGCAGAAGTACATTTCATCTCTCACTTGTAACCATCCACTATATAAACGTTTTCAGCACTAAAGATGAATTAGTCAAATAAAGCTTCATATGGTGGATAGTGTCTCGGATTGAGGAATCGGAGAGCTGAGTTCTAATTTCAGTCAAATCCATTACATGCTAATACCCTTGGGAAAGGCATGAATCCTCTTTTTCCCCTGTCCCCAACTATGGATAAATAGCATGACAGACCAGGTTCTATAGTCTTGGATAGATACCACAGAAAGAAATGGCAACCTACTGTGGAAAAAAATATGCCCGTCAGTCATATATCGAAAGATACATGATCACCTATTACGCATGGCACATGACTGAGAGTTAATTCCCTTGGGCCGGTCAAAAAGCCTTCTGATTTTCACTGGTTTCTCAGATTATAAATATTTTTAACTTTTCCTTTCTAATTTTTATATTCATTTTTTCCACTTTATAACCAACATCACAAATGAGCATTAGAATTAACTCTTTCAAAAAACAAAAATATTTAAAATGACTCAACATATCTTGAAATATATTTTTTAGTTTAAATTACATAGATTTAGTTAAGTAAGTAGGATTTCTGAGTTGAGTAATAAAATTATCGTTTACGCGGACCTATTCGGACGAGTGTTCTCATGTAAAACTTTAAACTTATTGTACGACATTCTCCAAGTGCATAATGTATTCAGTAATGTTCTAGGAATTTTAAATGAAACCAAGGGTACACTTGGAGTCTTGGTAGGATTTGATCTGAAATAACCAGGAATTGGATTTTTTTCTTTTTGAAAAATAAAGTAATATGGGTAGAAAATGTGAAAAGTTGGGTAAAGTTTAGAATTTAGTTTATTTGAATTAAATAATGGTATGTTTGTAAAAACACAGCAAATTATTTAAAGATATTAATTGTAAACAAATTTTTTTGTATTAAAATTGTTACCGCAAATAAACTTTAGAAAGCATGTTTCTGATGTCCTTAATTTTTTATTTTTTTCTTCATGGATCGTCATGCATCGTTGTACACATTTATGAAGTGGTTGTAAATTAATGTTAAAATTTCACACTACTCAGTCTTCTGGCACTCCAGTAAATAAATCCTGTAATATAACAAGTGTAAAATATAGAATGTATAGATAGA